GTTTGCTGCACAAACACAACCTGGGAATGTGGCTCAAATGATTTGAATTAATTTATTCAGAGGGTGGGAAGCTCGGACATCTAGGAGATACTCGGAGCAGAGCGGCTGAGGCGTTTTGGGAATGTCATGCAGACGGGAAGCCCCCAGGTCGACCCAGGACACGTTGGAGGGATTATGTGTCCACTTTGGCCAGAGGCTGCTGCCTCCGTGACCCAGATAAGCGGATCAAAACTGACCGATGTAAGTCAAGAACAGGAGGTGGGAAAGTGTGACAAAATCTGAGACAACTTCAGGAAATTGATGAAAATGAGAAATTATTACGAGTATCTACTTTATTACTTTTAACTTGAAGCTACATGTGACACGACTACATAAAAGTGTCACACAGACCAAACTCAAAGCCCCCCCCCCCACGTCCTTGCACTTATTTTGTTTGTCTCGGTGAGGAGTTTCCTCTTTCTACTCTGGACTATCAGCGTTTCTTACATTACTGCTATGATGCATTTCTAAGCTAACGCTAATGAGCTAATGCTTCTCAGCCTTACCCCGGGTTTCCACCGGAGCCGGCAGCAGCACGTTACTGCAGCAGCACGTCTTGCTCGCGTAAGCTGCTGCTTGGCCCTTCCCACGAGACGCGAAGCAGCAGGGGAGCAGCTGTCACCGACCGAGCACAAAGTCACACGAGTGACTTCGTCAGTAAACACAACAACAAGCAGGAGAAAACTACAACATGGTTTGTGTTTTATGTTCTGTCCGTTTTATAATCGCCAATACGGACCTGAAAAACAAAGGAGACCGCTAGCTAGGTGATAACTTCTCACAGGGCCACACAGTTAGTAACCTTTTTTAAAGTAAAGCAACCGGAAGGCAGTACGTTCTTTATTCTGAAAATCTCGGGAGCTTCTCTCCGTTTCCGCGTCCGATTTCCTGTCTTTCCTTTCCCCAAAATGTCGAACTTGACCCGTTTCAGAGGCGTCGCGAGTAGAAAATAGAACCGGCGCGTAAAGGCCGCGACATGCTCCTGAGACGCGGTCGACTCGCGCTGCTGACGGCTCCGGTGGAAAAGGTTCTGTTGACCACAGCGGTTCCTATCAGCAGCTATGACGTGCTGCTGCAGTAACGTGCTGCTGACGGCTCCCGTGGAAAGCTGGGGTCACTGGCTCAAGGCATGTGTAAATAGGGAGCTAAGTCACTTCCGCATTGTGGATCTCTGGAAGAACGAAAAAGTCAACAGGGCTAAAAACGCTATTTTCTAATCCGCTTTGTCTTACTCAGTGGTGTTCTGGGCTGAGTTTATTCCCTGGTAACTACAACAGAAGTGCACAACTATGACCAGAGTTTTTCCTGCGTTCAAATTTGCGTGGCGGCCGCCTCCAGCTAATTTTGCGCCGCCCCAGCCTGATTTCACCCTGCCCCCAGCTGTATGGATGTTATTTCAACTGCAGTTGCAGCGTTGCGCCACTATAGGGGCGCTGTACCAGCCGCGGTGCACTGAAAGCGCTAAAACCGCTGCAGAAAAAGAAGATCAAAAACTGCTTTTCTCGCTAGTTGGTACATATCTATGGTTGGTGCTATTGATGTTAGTGCTGTACTATACTGCAAAATTTGGTATCGATCCAATACCAAGTAAATACAGTATTGCCGTTACCGATACCAGTATTGATGATTTTTACTACTAGTCTAGCACCGTCTAAATTTGTGGGATTTATTAAGATAAATAAGATCAATAAAACTCAAATTTTATTGACTACTTACTTATTTTGTAAGTTTTCCTTTAACAAATCATGTGTACGATGATTATGAAATACAGGGAACATTTTCAGGCAAATAAAATTTTTATTAGGAAACTCAAAATGGTTTAAAATGGTTAACAAACTCAAGATTTCTTTCTATTGGAAATCTATAAAGCTGTGTAAAAAACTTCCAAACGACGCTCCTTTTTCGGTCTTCCATCGCGCAGCCACGACAGTGCTCTCTGCTGTTCTGTGCTTGTCTCGTGCTGGCGCGCTGTTAATGTAATGGCGGACTGCCCCGCCGACTGACATCCGTGGCGTTCCAATCACAGTGCTTTAAGGGTTTTTTGGGCCAATCACAGCGCTCTTTTAGCGAGGTAGGCGGGATGTCCCTGAAAACAAACATGGCTGCCGCTCCAAATGGTCCAATCACAGGTTTCAGCCAGGTAAACTACAAATCAAGATGGCTGCCGTCCTGTAGTGGTCCAATCATGGCGCTATATAGATTTCATGGGCCAATCGCAACACTAAGTAGGCGGGATGTTATTGGAAAAAAAAAACGTGACTAGTTGGCGTTCAGCCGCTCGTTTGAAACGGCTTTGGCATCTTGTTTGGACTATTATGACTTTGGCTTTTGTTTGAGTCTAGATCAGATAGAAGTACAAACGTTTATTTAGGAAAAGGATGTGTTTTGCATCTTCTTTGACGGAGTTTGGTGGACTGCCTCGTTGACCGACATCTGTAGCGGTGAGTACGCCATGGCTTGCCAGGCTAGAAGAAACTGAACTGATACCATCACGCAGGTATCTAGTAAATACTCAATACCAACGTTAGATCGATACCATCGATATTTTAGATCGATCCGCCCAGCCCTAATTGACGTACTGATTTTCCCCCAGGCTCTTCCAAATCAGAGCAGGGCTGTACAGTGCGATGAAAAAAAAAACTGTGTGTGTCTGTCTATTTTTAGACGTAGCACTGGTGCAACATCTTTGAATTACTATTTTCCTCAGAACTTTGTTGAACAAAAGTGTGTTACGTGTAAGAAAAATGCTTTTTACTGGCGCACAGTGTGGTCATCTGGATGCAGTGGAGGAAAATACAGGAACCAGCAAAGGCACAAAGGCAGAACCGGTCCAAAGTTTGGGATCAAAAGTGCAGCTACACGTGGATTGGCTAATGCTAAAGCTAACGGGTAGCAGACTCACAATCAAGTGGCGCACAAAAAAATATATGATGATCGTAAAACTAAGAAAGACTAAACTCTACAAGCAGATGAAAAGCCCCCACCATCTTGTTTATTCTGCATCCTGCAGCGCTACGGATCAGAACCGCTGCAGATACGAGTCACGTTACTGCTACAGGAGCAGGAAGTACGGTAAGCCGTTGTAGTATATAATTCACAAATGCTTCTATCTTTGAACATAATTTAAACTGGATTATTGCCAGCCGGTACATAATAGACATGCCACCATTACATTGTTAGCAGCAGAAATTAAATGTTGTTACCATTTCCAATACAAATGCATGTTAATGAAATGCATTATATTTTACTGGATATATGTATGTGTTATTTTGACTAAGATGAGTGTTATTAATACAAACCTAAAATGTTACTGAAATGTAGGTCAAATATTTAAACATATTTTAACCGTTAATATCAGATGGAAATAAAGGAACTAAACACCAATCTAATGCATATTATTGAGCCTTTTATAATAAGTCTGTTATTTCAGTCTGATAAGTTTGTTGTTTCCTATTTTTTTAGCAGCAAACCAGTTTTGTTTCACTTGAAACGTTGTCAAATGGAATATTTAACTAATCAACAGAAGCTTAGATTCGAACACTTAACGAAAAAATATTTGGCCTTTAAAAAAGTGAGGCAGTTGAAAGCACAGAGTATGCATGTGCTGGTGCATGGTCAGGATGGTACCACCTCACCACCTTTTATTATTTTATTATTGTTTTATTGTATTTTATTACGTGTTTTGTGTAAAGTGACCTTGGGTGTCCTGAAAGGCGCTTTTAAATAAAATGTATTATTATTATTATTACCTCTGCCTCAGAGCCAGGAAAAACCCTGATGACCATACATTTTTACACGAAATGTGAACTGTTTTTTTTTTATGGGTAAAACAGAAAGTTCCATGTCCGTTGTCATGTCTGAGGCTCATTCCTGCAGCTTGTGATAATCTTACGCACTGGTATCAAATCACAGATCTCAGGTCAGAGTTACATTTATTCTGCTGAACAGTAACAAACAAGAGAGGAAAACAATTACATGAAAAGACTGAAACATTAATATTTAATCCCATTTCTACACATGTAAAGCTTTTTTTTACCTTTCCAGAAGAACAGAAACTTGATCCGTTTGACCTCGTTAATCTGTCAGAATCTTTCTCTCTCTGTTGTAGTCTGATTTAATCTGACTTCCTGCGTACCTGTCGTAGCAGTTGACGTCATCCAGCCAGCAGCCCTGTCTGACGATCTCGATGGTGCCGGATACGTTCTTCCACGAGGCGAAGCAGTGCAGCCGCTTGTTTTTCTCGTCGTGGCAGTGCTCGATGCCGCTGCGGTTGGTCCAGTCCTTCTCCCAGCTGGAGTTGTAGAAGACGCACTCCTGCGTCTCCGAGCGTCCCAAGATGGCACCTGAGGAGGACAAATAAAAAAAACTCAGTGACAACGACGGAGATGGAGAAAAGAAGTAGTCGTTTCTGTTCTGGTCACTGAGAAAGAAGATAACTCGGTTTTGTTTAAATAACCACAGAAAGGACATTTTACAGCCCTCAAAGTAAAAGAGGAAGTGAAGCAGAAATAAAAAGTGCTATATATATATATATATATATATATATATATATATATATATATATATATATATATATATATAAATAAAAGGATGAACATTAAAGTCATAGATTAAAGGTTAGAGGCGGAAGCTGGCAAAACAGAAAAGGCTTCTGATTTCTCACCGATCAAAACAGAGAGCTTTTGCAAACCGATATCCGGGAGGGGAAAACAGCGTGACAGCTCGTCAGGCCAGTGCTCCTGCAGCAGCCTCTCTTCACCCGTCAGAGCGTTAGTCAGTTGACAGGACTGAGGATCGTCAGAGTTCATCCCTCCAGCTCTGATTCCTACATTCCCTTTTTATTCTTTACATGTTACCTTTTGGTTTTCCAAGACACGTGTACAGTCAGGTCCATCAATATTGGGACATCGACACAATGCTGACATTTTTGGCTGTATACACCACCACCACCACAATGGATTTCAAATTAAACGAACAAGATGTGCTTTAACTGCAGACTGTCAGCTTTTTTTGAGGGTATTTACATCCAAATCAGGTGAACGGTGTAGGAATTACAACAGTTAGCATACGTGCCTCCCACTTGTTAAGGGACCAAAAGTAATGGGACAGAATAAGAACCATGAATCAAACTTATACATTTCAATACTTGGTTGCAAATCCTTTGCAGTCAATTACAGCCTGAAGTCTGGAACACGTAGACATCACCAGATGTTGGATTTCATCCCTGGTGATGCTCTGCCAGGCCTCTACAGCAACAGTCTTCAGTTCCTGCTTGTTCCTGGGGCGTTTCCCCTTCAGTTTTGTCTTCAGCGAGTGAAATGCATGCTCAATCGGATTCAGGTCAGGTGATTGACTTGGCCATTGCAAAACAGTCCACTTCTTTCCCTTCAAAAACTCTTTGGTTGCTTTTGCAGTATGCTTTGGGTCATTGTCCATCTGCACTGTAAAGCGCCGTCCAATGAGTTCTGAGGCATTTGGCTGAATATGAGCAGATAATATTACCCGAAACAGTTCAGAATTCATCGTGCTGCTTTTGTCAGCAGTCACATCATCAATAAATACAAGAGAACCAGTTCCACTGGCAGCCATACATGCCCACACCATGACACTTCCAGCACCATGCTTTACTGATGAGGTGGTATGCTTAGGATCATGAGCAGTTCCTTTCCGTCTCCATACTCTTCTCTTCCCATCACTCTGGTACAAGATGATCTTGGTCTCATCTGTCCATAGGATGTTGTTCCAGAACCGTGAAGGCTTTTTTTAGATGTTGTTTGGCAAACTCTAATCTGGCCTTCCTGTTTTTGGGGCTCACCAGTGGTTTACATCTTGTGGTGAACACTCTGTATTCACACTGGTGGAGTCTTCTCTTGATTGTTGACTTTGACACAGATACACCTACCTACTGGAGAGTGTTCTTGATCTGGCTAACTGTTGTGAAGGGTGTTTTCTTCACCAGGGAAAGGATTCTTCGGTCATCCACCACAGTTGTTTTCCATGGTGGAAATAAGTAGAAGCGGCCAAATTATCTCCTACTGTGTTTTCACTCATTCTGCCATCAGAGCATTGCATCCGGACATTCACTCAAACCCAGCATTCACAGTTCCGATGGATCCTCCAGTTCAATCTGGTTATAAAGAATGAATGCAGCTAGCAATAACTAACTAAAATAAGCAGGTGTTTCATAGTGTAGTTCAATATAAACACAAAGCTAGCAATAGCACCCTGGCCCTACCATCAACTTAGCTAACCAAGACATGAGGAAACTGAAAAAGTAGACAGATAACAGTTATCTCAATAGTGTTTTTTGTAACATACAAAAGCTTCTGTGGTCACTGGAATATAGTTGTAAATGAAAGTGCTTTGGGTTGGTGGGATGTCTGTTAGCATTAGCCTGACCCGGGTTTAGTTCCAGCCAACGCACACGTTTTTAATCAGAGAAAAGCCGTTTGTGTCTAGTTTTTATGTTTGGTTAATAAAATGAATGTGTGATAGATTACCTTATTCATGTAAGTAGAGATGTGTAAAAAGATTCAATACAAAACAGAAGTAGTGAATATTCAGTTTGGGACATCCTTTAAAATATCTTGTTTTACAGTTTGTACTTAGTTCTTGCAAATATATTCGGTCACTTGTAATTTGTTTTACAGAAAAGAAAGGAAGAAAACATTGAATTAAATCAGATTTGGAATGAATCTGATGGCACAAAATGTATTAACCCGTGCACAGCAGAAGGACGTGAAATGGCAATTTTGAGGGATTTATCTCCTCACTAATAGTTATGTCTCTTGTTTCGGTTTAATCGTGTATTTCTGTGTGTGTTTTAGGTCAAATAAGCTTGGTAATCTATAAATTACTCCAAGTTAAGTTGAGTTATTGGTGATCATCACTCCTTTCCTTCTGAGGTCATTTGTCTAAGTGTTACCATGGAAGCGCGCCTATGGGCAGCCATGATCAGTTCCTGGTGTGCTTAACCAGCTCTACTGAGGGAGAAACTAACTGACTGAAGAGAGAGGGGGGGAGAGGTGGTTATCTTGTGTTTGTTTAAGTGTAGTTGTTGTTGTTTTTGTTCTTTTGAGTTAAGGTAGGAGGTAAACATGTAAATAGATTGTTTGAAATGTATGTATTCATTTGTGTATATATGTATGTATAGAGGTCTATAACTTTATGCTTCTCTCTGTGTAACTAGTTTTCACGTTTTTTCACGATTCATGGCCAACCAGTCCAGGAACTATATTGTTCAAAATAAATTTTTTTAAGAATCATGATTGTTTCATTTGTATTAATGTTACTTTAGTTGAAAGGGGCAGATAACATAAGTTTTTCTTCTTTCTGTCCCCTTTTTTCATTTTGGCTTGTAGCAATTTTTTTCTGTATTTTTATTTTAATGTCAATAAATGAAAAATGAAAAAAATATATATATATTTTTGTTGAGATGTACTTTATTGATTGTAAAACTTCAAGCTAATTGTTTCCCCTGCCCATGTCGTAATGGTTGGTTCTAAGGTAGCTTTACAAGGGCCAGATGGATTTGGCACTGTTGTTGGTCGGTTGATTGCTTGTTAAGGAGAGTCCATGCCCAAATGTCATGGATTGTTTGCATTAAAAAAAAAAAAGATGAAAAGTCAGAGCTCTGCAACATCCTGGACTCTTGCTTTTTCTTCTGTTGACAAACATCTGGTAACATCCTGAGTGAGTGACAAGGCAGAGGCTCTGTCTGAGCCAAAACCTTACAGCAATTAACCACCCGGTTACAGCATTAACGACAATTAACCTGTTCACTAAGTACATCCCTAATTGAAGGTAAACTCTAGTACATCTTTGCTTCACAGAACTGAGGTTGCTCAAAGAGCGATCTACAGCAGGTAAGATATTCATTCTTTATTACCCACTTCGATAGTCCCGTTGTTTTCAGTAGAAGCTAGATTTTACAAGCTCTTAATGAAATTTAAATGAAACATTTAACTTTTAGGTTTTTTTAATCCAATTCTGTAGAATTAGCCTCATTACCCTTTTTGTTCATCGAGTCTCAGAAATGAAAGCAAAACTCCGGAGAAGCAGCTTAAAGAAAGGAGGACGCAGCTCCAGTCCTGGAGGTTAATTTAAGAAAGATGATGTACGTTTCAATAAGCAGGCTGCTTAAGTAAAGCCGGTTAAAGCCACTCGGGTCCCGGATGCGCCGCGGCTCCCTTTTCAACGGCATTAACAGCTGCAGAGACTGAGCGGCTACTTCACCAGCGGGCGAGGTCACGCCGTCTCTTAGCGGGCCTGGCAGGGTTTTCCTTTCGTCAAATCCACTTCAAACAACGCTCAGAACAGTTTCAGAGCAACAGGTGCAGCCCGTGTGGCCCCACAGCGACTGGTTGAAGTGAAAAAACTGATTTTTCAGAAGGAAAAAATAAACCTGTCAGAGAATGTAGATGTAGAAATAATTGGCTGCTCACACAAGTACCACAGGGAAGAGAGACGTGTTTTACCTTCTCTACATTTGAAAAAGTTCAAAAATACACAAAAAACAGCTGTAAATCCTGAAAGTCGAGCTGGAAAACCGAGCCTCTGTCATCACAGGCTGTAAAGATGCCCTAAAGCAAGATGCTCACATCCGCAGCAGGGATTATGTGAGGACAAGCTGATGAAAAGGGAAGAATAAGGTAATACCAGTTGCAGCGTTGCGTTAGATTACCTACAGTCGTGTTTTGAATCCATCCAGAGGTTTTTTTGGGGGGGGGGGGGGGTGGATGGCTTTGATCTGCGATGACTGATGGATTAGTTTTAAAAACGATAAACGTATTTCTGTCCACATCTCACCTTCAGGCAACAAAAGATAAAAGATTTGATATTTCCTTCGAGTTTCCTGCCTTCAAGTGAGCTTGGATGTGCTAAACCGCCTGCTTGGGTTTGATGAGTTTCTCCACGCCAAACAGAGCTTTTACTTTTGTTCACTTCCGTTCTCCTCAGAAGGGAATGGGTCCCCTCGCCGGCCCTCGCGGGAGATGAAGGCGCTAATGATGGGGAGGTAGCGCGGAAGGTTAGCTCATTAGCTGCGGCTTGTGTAGCAGTGCTGCCGCAGATCCCTGCGGATGTTGAGTTGTGATGTTTGGAGGGCCTGTTTTACATGACTGGAAGTGAATGCAGCAGCGTGAGACGTTTTCTCTGTTTACAGATCATCAGAGGAAAGGCTTTATAATGAGGTTACGGAAGGCAGAAAACACGCAACGACTGTACCTCTGAGTGAGAGGAGACCTAGACGGGGATAACTTAAAAGGAGGAAAGTAGGAAGTGTGAGATATTGTAAAGGGGAAGTATTTGTGTTCCTGAAAAATTAAAGAAATTACTAGATAAA